CCAGTTACACATTGAGTCTCTCTGGGTTTGATCGTCAAAATGTGATGGCCCATCTCCCTTAGTTTAACAGCAAAATGTAAAGTGGCCGCCTTGAACAACCAGCTCCTTCCTCGCCCTCATCCCCCCCCCCCCCAACACCTTGATTTCCTATACCAAATTGGCTAGGAAGAGTCAAAAGATTTCCCTGCCTTTCCCAACAATGACTCCTCTTTCTCTATGATCCCAGTACTCAGGGAGTTAGGAAAATTGGCCCCAAATCACTAAACTTTGTTGTTTATTATCAAGACTTTTTTAAAAATTTGTTTATTTTTTAGTTGTAGCTGGACACAATACCTTTATTTATTTATTTTTATGTGGTGCTGAGGATCAAATCCAGGGCCTCGCACATGCTAGGCGAGTGCTTTGCCACTGAGCCACAACCCAACCCCTATTATCAAGACATTTTTATAAGTTAAAATATTTAAAAACTCTAATATTATTTTGTAAATCTAAGATTGAAACAAATCCTGCAATTCTTGTTATTGCAAGTTAATTGTGAAAAAGGTTGAATTAAGATCTGAAATCTTTCTTCCAGGCACTCAATTGTGGAAAAGAGGGAATTTATAAATCTGATTGCCAGGTATTAACATTGCCATTTAAATTTTGTTTTAAAGGAAGCTTCAGCCAAAGAAGAGGTTAAATTTACAGCTTGCTTAGTTGTTGAAACCAACTTTAATGATATTTCTAATAACATTATAAGCTGAAAACAGCAAAATAGCTTATTAAAAAGGTCTCCTTTCAAATCATTTTTAAATAAACATGGCCACAAAACAGGACTCCTTATATATGTAAAAACTCATATATAATATTATATATAGTATGTTATATATAGTCATATATATAAAATCATTCAATTCTCTAAAAAATATACATATATACATATACACACAGAGAGAAAAAGAGAGAGAGAGAAATTTTTTAAAAATTTATTCTGCAATCAAATTCTCTTCTCCTTATTCAAGGAGACCCAGTTTGAATTCATTGGAAATTTACACTAAAGAGAAATTTGTGTGTCAGAAAGGTCTTAGAATTTTTCTCATTGAAATTTCACAGATGTGTAGAATTTGGAGGCCAAGAATAATCCTTAGCTCTTGCTTTCAGTGAGGCAAGTTCCCTTATCCCTCTACCTCTTTCCCTCCCACTACTTAACATGGCCTCTTCACTGATTTCTAAAGCACAAATTTGACACAGTACATTATCACGAAAGATTTAAAACAGAAGTATGCATAACCATGAGTGGATTCTAAATTGAGAAGCAGCTTAAAGGTGAGCAATAGAAGACAATATGGAATGCTATTTTAGAAACATATGCCTTGGCCATTTTTATTATCATTGTCTTCCACTCCTCCCACCTGTCTGTATTTGCTGATGAAAAACTCTTGGCTTCAAATGGCCATCTGATTGAGTAGGCCCACAAAGCTGAGCCCCATGATTTTCTCCTGTGGGATTATATCCATACAGTTACTTCTGTTTCTTATTCATCCTGATCAGTTTTTCAAACTTGCAGTATGGTATGAATTTCAAGTGAATGTGGGAGAATATTTGCCTAACCTGAGATAATCAACCATCTCCTTGGACAATCTCTACAGTCTGTTTCCTTGGTGCCTACAGTATCATTTAATCTCACAGAGTCTTTCTTTTTTCTTTAAAAAGAGAGAGAGAGAGAATTTTAATATTTATTTTTTAGTGCAGACACAACATCTTTGTTTGTATGTGGTGCTGAGGATCGAACCTGAGCTGCACACATGCCAGGCGAGCGCGCTACCGCTTGAGCCACATCCCTAGCCCTAATTTCACAGTCTTGATGAACTGAAATAAGTAATTACATGTAGTACCATGATGCTTCCAAATACAGTGTAATGGAGACTTGGGGTGGGGGTGGAGAGAGAATTTGGTAGGCAATTGTAAAGTCCTTTATTTGGTAGGTGATTGTGAAGTCAGAAGTAACCTAGCAAGTTATTCAATAGCATTACTTCCTGCCTCTTTAGACAAAGTGATTTCATGCCTTCTGATTTAGAGGCCTCCTTAAAATAACATTGTGTTAAAACCATGATAGCTGACTTTGCTATGTTAACTTTGTAACCATCTGATTGGACTCTGGGATGTGCCTCTTTAGTGACCATTAATATATTTTCATTATGATCTTTGTGTTCTCTGACTGATTAATATTCAGACAGGCTTCTCTTCCCAACAGTAGCAGCAGGGATCTCTCTCTCTCTTATTAATACCATAGTTTTCTGAAAAGAGTGGGAACAGAACTTCATTCTATGCAGGTACAAATTTATATGAAAAATGAAAAGTGATCCTTTAAAATCTAGTCTCATGAAGGACTATTAAAATGCTGAGAGATTATCAGATGTGGTGGCTCACACCTGTAATCCCTGCTACTACAAGGCTGAGGCAGGAGAATCTCAAGATGGAGGCCAGCGTCAGCACTGAGGGATACCCTATATCAAGATTAAAAAAAAAAAAAAGGACTGTAGGTGTAGCTCAGTGATCCAGTGCCCCTGGATTCAATAACGAGTACCAGAGGGAAAAAAATGCTGAGAGATAAGATTTGGTTTGGCTCTGGACTGTGGAATCTAAATGTTGGGTTGCAGTTTCAGACTCTGACTCTCAAAGACCAACATTCTATACTTGAGAGAAAGTTATTTCCCCTGAGGACCAGCGAAAGTTTTTCCTATTGTTCAGAGGTAGACAATAAAACTTGAGAGATTTCATAACTACCAGACAAGACATTGGGTCACCACAAGTCAGGGACAACCTGACTCTGCCAGTATCTACATGACTAAATAAACCTGAGGCATTTGGGAAGGCCACAGAGGCCACACACTGAGGACTAGGATGTCTCTTTTAGCCTGTCTACCCAGAGCCTAGAGCAGGCCCTGTCACACCATGGCCATGAAAAAAATGTGTGTAGAAATAAATGAAAGGGCATCACTGGACAAGAGACAGGAATCTTGTAGGGGCTTCAGCGACCCTATAGGTGAGGTCTACCCATCTCAATATGAACAGTGCCATTTTATCCCTTTGTGAGCTTTAATATTATGGTCATGAATTTGACCGTGCCAATCAGAACCAAACTTTTTGAAATCCTCTACTTCCTTACCTCCTGTTTGCACTCTATCCTCAGAGCTGTCCCTTTACTAACTGCTCTCACCAGGGTTATTCGCTACCACCTCCCCAAAACACACCCTTGAGAGCTCAGAAAGGGCACCAACCTCGTTTTCTGGCCTCCCAGGCTTCTTCACAAGGGCTTCTCTTTGGCCACCTATTCCTCAAATTATAGAGTTTGTCACAGGTTTGTTTTGTGTCCATTTTCTCTTTTCGGTCTCCATTCTACTTTAACCTAAGTCATCGTTTGCCCACATCTTTACCTAATTGGCTTCAAAGTCCCGCATCTAACTGCTTGCTTGACATCTCCTCTTGCGGAAGGGCCAGGACACATTAAACTCCATGTTGTTTTCTCAGTGCTGCTCCTCTGTTTTCTGAACGGAGTGTTGGTCCCCCGGCCAGCTAGCTTGAGCCAGTGACCTGGGTTCCTCGACACTTCCTTCTCCACCCCATCCCTACAGTCACCAAGTCCAGATGGTTTTCTCTCCTGAACATCCTTCTTATCAGTTGCGGTGAAGAGTGTGGACACTGGCACCAGGTTCTCTGGGTTCCAATCCAAGTTCTTCCACTTAATAGCTCTGTAGCCTTAAGCAAGTTACTTAAGCAAGTTCTTTTTGTGCCTCAGTTTCCTCACCTGCAAAACAGAAATATACAGTGCCTGCCTCTCAGCATTGTCCTGCAGATTGACTAAGTTAATGTGTGTAAATGCTCAGAACAGTGCCTGGCACTTCCAGAGGCTGGAAGTAGGAGCTATGATTCCCCCTCTGTCCCTATTTCCCTTTTTTTCTTCTTCTCCTTCCTCCTCTTTGTTCCCTCAATCTTGGCTAACCGAGCCTGGCCACCATTTTACCTCATCTGGGTTATTATCACCTCTTCCAGTGGTCTTCCTGGTTCCATGTTTTACTCCACCCCCAACCATTCTCCCTATTACAGCTGGAGAGGTCTTTTAAAAACACAGATCGAATCATTTACTCCCCAGATTGGAACCTGTTAAAGGCTTCATATGACTCTTCCAACCATGGCCTTCGAGGACTCACACGAGCTGGTTCTCGCCAATCCCCCAGCCTTTCTGGTGCTGCTTCCGGAATCTCCTCCCTTGCCCCTGCCCCTCCTCATCTGCATCTGCCCCTTCGGTGTCCTAAAGCCTCTATACCTGCTGTCCTCTCTGTTCCAATTCTTGCTTATCTCACTCCTTATCAAACCCAGTATCTTTCCTAAGTGTTCCCTGACCCCTCCAGGGCAGGTTATGCCCCCCCCACACCCCATAACACTCCCTCAAAGAACCCCATACTTCTGTTCCATAGCACTTATTGGCAGTTAAATTTCATTTGTTCAATGTCAGTTTTCCACCTTAGCCTAGAAGCCGCACAAAGGCAGGAACCACGTCTATGTGGCTGGTGGTTGTACCCAGTACCTAGCACAGTGCCTAGGTTGGAATAAGGGTAAAATGGTTGTTATGTAAATAAATATAAGAAACCTGGGATTTATGACTTGGTTATTGATAATTCAGCTAGATTTGGGGGGGGGTTTCCTTTTTTGTCACATTATAGAAGTGCTTCTGAATCCGTGTGTCGCTCAACCTCACTCCCTGTGAATAAGCAGGACAGGCTCACTGAGGCCAGCTGATGAATGTGGCTTCATTATTTATGCCCAGAACCAGGAGAGCTATACGGGCTTCAGCACCAACACAAGAAGCCCCTTCAGCCTGAAAGGAGCATCTGTGCCTTTCAAGCAACGGAGATTAGATTAATAAGAGAATAAAAGCAATCACTGGAAAATAAATCCAAACATGGCAGTCACAAAGGAGTCCGTCACAGCACATTTATTTCTCTTTTATATGCAGGTCAGGAATTAAGAATCATGTTGCATGAAGTAAAGGACAGACAGAAGTTCATCAGTGATGTTCAGTGTCTGCAGGACATGCAACACAAGGGGGACTCTGAGTATCAGGTAATTGTGGAAAGTGAGGAGTGTCTTTCACCTTCTCTTACAGTGTTGGCAAGTATGCAGACTAGAGTATCAGCTTATGATGCTCAGTCATCGTTTCCACAGGGGGTAACCATGAAAAATCACTACACCTTCCTGAGTCTGTGTTTCCTCATCTGTCAAATGGGGAGAACAATGGTGTCCATTCCACAACACCATCACCAAAAAAAAAATAAAAAATAAAAGAAACAAGATAAAGAGTATTTAGGGCAGCATTTGACACACAGCCCTTAACAACAAAAGACATCAGGGTTTCAACAAACCAAGAAAAAAAAGACTATAAAGGGTTAACTGGGTCGTGTATAAAATAACATGCTCTTCTGTTGTCAGAAGAAGAGTGGTTACATATTCTACAATAAGCTAACTGTTGGTCTCCCTGGTTACGGTGTTTACATGCAAAAACAAAACAGAAAAGGAGCCCTAGGGGTCATGATGCAATTACCAGGGGCTGGCATAGGACAAACTTGCTAGACTGGGTTGTGGGATTCTGGGAGCTGTACAAGGTGTCAGTCATCCCCCTGCCGGAGGTCAGCCCTCACCAATCAAGAGCCATGTCCTCAGCCTTGTTGGGAGGATGGAAAAGCACTCTTTCCCTAAGGAGAATAAAGATCTGCCATTCTGAGTTGTTTTTTTTTTCCCTTCTCCTCCTTAGTAATTTCAAATATAACCGAACCTCCTGGGTCACCAAGGAAACCAAGCCTGTCTCAGTAACCTGATTTCACCTGTATAATATGGCTTCACTTTGGGGCTGGAAACGGAGTCAGCAATTTCCTCCCACAACTTGCCAGCCCACATATAAGAAAACTATAAAATCCAGGGAATTTCTGGAAAACAAATAAGGATGTAAACATCTGAACCAGTCACCCTAGAAATCCATCTCCTTCTCACAAAGATGCCTCTGCCACCTGGCTTGGGCGTGGAAATACTTTTTGAGATTGTCTCTAGAACAGGCACATAGGGAGAACAATCTTATTACTCTGTGGTCCCTGCTGAAGAAAAAGCACACACAACCGTGTAACTTGGAGGCATTGTCGCTTTATTTTCTAATCTCAGTTGGGTTTTCAGGGTTGCCTTTCCATTCATTCAGCCAGTATTTATCAAGGGCCTACTATGTGCTGGATGAGATATCTATTCTCCCAGAGTTCTTGTCCTAGGCATGGGGGAACAACACCTATGAGTAAATGTGTAAGACAGTTTTAACTACTGCTATCGTTTAGGTCTGGAATAACCCCTCAAAGGCCCGTGTATTAAAGGTTTGGGCCTCCAGCTTGACGCTGTTGGTGGTAGAACCTTTCAGGGGTGGAATCTGTGGGATAGTCGCAATCTAGTCCCTTCCTCCCTCCCTCCCTCCCTCCCTCTCTCTCTCTCCCCAGTTGCCATGAGGTGAACCCACTTCCTCTGCCATGCACTCCCACCATGTTGTATGGTGCTGCCATAGGCCCAAAGCAATGGGACCGAGAGACCAAGAACTGAAAGCTCAAAAACTGTGAGCCTTTCCTCTTTTAAGTTGATGTATCTCAAATTATTAACTGTCCAAAGAAGTGAATGATGGGAAAGAGCCTAGAACCTCCCAAGTAGAAGAAAATCGAGGGTTAGTGCCCTGAGGCAGGAACTAGCCTGGGACACTGGAAGAAACAAAAGCCGACCAGAGTGGCTGAAAGATATTCCCGAGAGGAAGTAATGAGGAGGCAGAAGAAGTTCATCGGAGCAGATCATGTTGGGTCTCACAGGGCAAAGCTTGGCATTTAGATGTGATTCTTAACACGGTGAGAATTATTGAGTGGTTTTAAGTAGTAGGATCTGATCTACATATTAAAAAGATCACTTTGGGCCCAGCATGGTGGTGGCACATTCCTATAATCCCAGCTACTGGGAGACTGAGGCAAAAGGATCACAAGTTCAAAGACAGCCTGGGCCACTTCGCAAGACCCTGCCTCAAAATAAATAAATAAATAAATAAAGGCTAGAGAATGTAGCTCAGTGAAAGAGCACCCCTGGGGGGCAACAGAAAAAGCAGAAAAATTCATGGTGAAACTCAAATGGAAATTTAGGAGAGAGATTATGGTGACTTGGTTGGTAGTTGTGCAGGTGGCAAAAAGTGGCCCGACCCAGGAAACCACAGAACAGACGTCTTGCTAGATGAAGAGGAGGAGTGAGGGAAAGAGAGAGTGAGGGGAGACTCACTTCAGCACCCTTCCTCTGCCATCAGTCCCTCCTCTTATCATCACTATTTTAAACCTTTCCACTCTTCAAACCTCCAACTGCCTTAATTTCTGACTATTTCCCCTATTATTTCACATACCAACGAAACGAAATGAAAAACCCAAGACCAGCACATGGAACGCACCCAACTTATTAACACTGTAACCCTCAAGTCTCCGGGGAGTGACCTCCTTCCTTCCAAGGACCAGCTGAGGTGTTGGTCCCACCCCTTTGCTCTCCAGCCCCTCCCACCCAGGGCCCCATGTCTGTCTTTGACCTTCCCTTCTCCTCATTGACTATCTAGACATGCTCATGCATCTCCCATCTATGACCCAAAGAACAACCTCTACTTTACACTAACGACTTGTAGACAGGAGCCTGCCCAAAGTGTCAGAATCATATGCTCACTCGCTTATTGGTTATTTCCACCTGGAAGTTACATAGGCATCTCCTGTTCAACGAGCCAGCTGTATGATGGACAGCTGTACTCCACGTGTCCACTCCTGGCCAAGTTTCCTGTGGCCTACGCCTGCCTTGGCTCCTTCCTCTCCCCTCCACCCACACCCCACCAGTTACAAGCCCTGCCGAGTTCACCTATGAGCTCGCGACATTCTGTTTTCCTTTTTATCCTAGTGCCACCACTGTGGTTCCAACCTCCACAATTTCTCTCCAAGATTATTATGACATCCTTATAGCCCATCTCCTTGCCTCTGTGATCTCTCTCAACATCTTTCAGATTGCTTTCTTGAAATCTAAGCTGTGCATTTGACTAGGCCATTGGAATACACAAAATCTTTCCAGTGTTTTGCCACACTTAAAGGCAGGCCCGGGACCCAAGAACCTGAGCAAACCAACCCCCCCACCCCCCGCCACCCCCAACCTCCTCTTCCCCTTTGCACTTCGCTCTCTTGACACAAGGGTGGTGAGGATCATAGTTTTAATTCAGAACTAAAGGAAACCTCTGTACTCTTACAAAACGTACTCATAGTAGTTCTATTTTATTTTTAATTTTGTAAAACCTTTATACTTTACATATCATGAAATTCAATCTGTTTTAACTGTTAATGATTTTTAGTAAATTTACCAAGTTTGCAGCTGGGGCTATCAGTTTTAGAACATTCCCATCACCCCAATACCATAGTACCCTTTTTATATCTTTTCTATATTATGTTACAATTATCTTTTGAGCAAATGCACAACAGCTCCTTAAGGGCAAGGGCTGAGTCTGTTTTATGTTGAACCATGGGCCCTGTCATTCGCTAAAGTCAATATTAACCTAACTTGGCCACCAACTCTATTTATTAGACTTGGATCCAGCTGACCTGTGACTATTCTTTTTTTTAATATTTATTTTTTAGTTGTAGATGGTCACAATATTTTTATTTTATTTTATATGGTGCTGAGGATCTAACCCAGGGCCCCACACGTGCTAGGTGAGTGCTCTACCGCTGAGCCACAACCCCAGCCTGTGACTATTCTTAAGAGTCAAATTCACCTCTTTTTTTTTCTTTTAGCATTCTTTTTTAAATTTTTTTTTATTGGTTGTTCAAAACATTATAAAGCTCTTGGCATTTTTAATCCCACTTATCCAGAGATTTGCAAAAAATGAGTACGGTTGTCTTGAAAAGATGCTCTGTGTATTGTTGAAGTGAGTGTACAGAGATAGTAACCACTTGAAAGGGAACAGCACTGATTTTTTTTTAGTTATATGATTCAGTCTGTCCTTTGCTTTGTTTCAAAAAGTATTTAAAGTAGTGGTTTAAGATTCAATTACATACCAGGCGCGGTAGCACACGCCTGTAATCCCAGTGGCTCAGGAGACTGAGACAGGGAAATCACAAGTTCAAAGCCAGCCTCAGCAATGGCGAGGTGTTAAGCAACTCAATGAGACTCTGTCTTTAAATAAAAACGTGGCTCAGTGGTTGAGTGCCCCTGAGTTCAATTCCTGGTACCCCCACAACCCTCCCCAGAAAAGAATTTATTGTATGACTTTAGTGACCCCTCAGTAACCTGGCCCACATATGACCTATATGTATTTAGATAATTTTCTGAGACTTGATGTTGGATAGTTATTGATGAGCTTGGTCGTCATTTACCAACTGTGGAAATCCTTGTTTTCTCTCTCAGTTCAGACATCTGCTCGGGACACCAGGGATTCCCTGTTTCAGGGTGTACAAATAGTGTAAGACCTAATAACTAGGTGTGACTCCCAAATCATATACATTTGCCACATATTCCTTCCTGTGCCTGACTTGCCTTTAATGAACTGGCTCAAATTGAAGCCCTCAGAAACCTCCAGGGTAAACTATTCCTGCTCCATCCTAAAATATGCTAAGGGTTGGTATGCACCAAATTAGCAGTGCTTTTCAGGTCTCTGTGCTAGCAGCAGGAGAAGAGGGATAAACCCACCCTGAGTTATTTTGATACTACTCCTTTCAGTGGCTGGGTGGGACCCTTTTGAGAAAACAAGAGGGAACAAACATCTATTTGGCATATTACATGCTATTTCAGAATCTGGTAAACTAGTATATAATTATATGCCATCTCAGAATTTGGCTCTATTTCTTCAAGGGTGTTCATGCTGCATAGTTATGTGTGTGTGTATGTGTGTGTGTTTCCTTGTGGTCAAATGTGTTTATGTAAAGGGAAGGCAGAATTTAGCCATTAATGTCTACTAGAAAGCAGGAGGGAAAGATTACACCTGGCATTTCAGAACAATTTTCTATAATCCATTGAATGTGTCCAAATGGGTTTCATCCCATGTCCCTTATTCAGAATCTTGATTCTTTTAAGTGCAGATCAAACAGCTAGACGTGACAATATAGATTTATTCATGGACATGATAGGTGACTTTATACCAGGTGGCAAGAGTTTCGAGGGCAGATGCAGGTTGAGCAACCCTAATCTGAAAATCCAAAACACAAAACATTTTTGAACCACCAACATGAAGCCAAGAGTGGAAAATTCCACATGAGAAAAATTTGTTTCATAGACAAAGTTATTAAAAATATTGTATAAAATATAAGGTAAAGATGAAACATAAATGAATTTGTTTAGGCTTGGGCCCCATCCTCCAGACATTTCATTCTGTAATATACGCAAAATCCGTAAAATCTGGAAGAAGAAAAATCTGAGATCTGAAACAGTTCTGGTCCCCAACATCCAGATAAAGGATACACGACCTGTCACTCAACTTCCCTTCCAACAGGGAAAAGATTCTCTCCCCGGCTTGCCTGTGAGATGCGTGTTTTATTAATTTATTTATGAGGAGACTATCATGTCAAACTTTTTAATGGCTTCAGTTTCTTAACCTTTTAAAATGAATGAATTTCAAGAATGTTATCAATGATAATTAAATCCCAGGCCCGGGGGTTTTGTATATTAGAGCATAAGAACAACAAAGCAGCAGCAATTGAAGGCAGTGGCCATGGCCACATCTCAAATGCCTCCAGGGTTAGTGTAACAATAGCCCTGTGGATGCCATTACTGACAGAGATGTAAAGCCAGATCACTTTCAGGATGGTTTTTACACCAGAGCTATGTGGCTGGCAAGTGTTCCTGTGGCATGTGGCTTCTTAAGTCATCAGGAGTCCCACTGGTGACTAAAGAGGGAAGACAGATAATAAAAAAAGAATCTCTGAGCACAACTGCAGGCTCAGAAAGTTGTAATGCCAAAGAAAAAGTGGTTTACGATGTGACCCCAAGTGACTGAGAGCAGGAGCTGCTCATTGGGCCGTCTGGGGACTCTAGGCAGGGAAACAGAGCTCTACTTACAGGGCAGAAATGCAATGATGAGCCCCAGACCCAGACAGAAAGGCTCTTTCTTCTGTGGCCAAGATCATAGTCATGCACTTTGGCAAAGGCTGACTTTGGAAATAGAAGTAAACCAGGAAATAGGATTGAAAACAGCAATTAAAAACCTGACGACGTAGGGGAGGGGGACCTTTGAGGGAACCCTCACCATGGGCCAGTCACTGCTCCCATGTTACCCACAGAACCTCCCGCTCTCCTCCTAACAGTCTTGCAGATGAGAGAGCTGACAATCAATGGAGTTAGTTCTCAATGCTAGAAAGTGGCAGCCCTGGGGCTCGTGGTGTTTACCAGGATTGAGTTACAGTGAGTCACAAAGGCCCCGCTGTCCCCCACAGGCAGACAGGCACATTCTGTGATTTGCCCCCATGGTGGAGGCTTCTGCACAGGAGGCAGCCTGACTGCCTGTGCTGTCGTCAGAGGGTGGGCTGGCAGCCGAGCGGGGACATTACCAAAGGAGAAGCGAAGAAGGAAGCCCTGGCTCTCCCCAGAAGGAAAGAAAGAAAGAAGTCACCTGCAGCCTTCCATTTCAAGACTGCCCTCTGATGGTCTTGCCACACAGCAGAAGCTTATTTATAGCCATCTCAGGCCTGACACACGGAATAGAAGGGGAGGACGATAGAAGCACAGGTTATGAATTGCCAATCCGTTCCTCCTCCCGACCCGTGGGTTTCACCCTACCATAGAGATCTTGTCAACAGCAATGACCCCAAATCACTCACATTTACAAATACAAAGAAAAGTAGCCCTCTGGGGAAAATATGGCTAGGTTCTTGCTTGTTTCTAGGACCAGAAGTCTGGTGGCTCTGTTCCCGTGTTCCTTCTCAGCAGAGCTATGACTGAGAGGATTGATGCTTGATTTACACAGAAAGATTGCTGGTCATCTCAAGATAAAAATTATCAAGTACCGACCTTGCCGCTGGTTTGTTCTTGCTAATCTACACGAGGAGGGAAAAGGAACCAGAGGCGGGGGAAATGCTTTTCAGTATAGCAAGTCCATCTATCCCTCCTCCCTTTTGGTAAAGAAATATTTAAGTCGTATGCATTCTTGGAGAGAATTTTCAAAAAACACTCAGCCCACAAGAATTCTGTTCATCCCACAAAATCTGCCGTGGTCCTACGTGCATGTGCTCATACTGGCTCCTCCACTTTCAGCCTTTAATATCAGTAGGTTAAGGCGACACAGACATCTGTCACTTTGGGAAACAACACTCCATGCCAGAAATCCCCCTCCCAGGAGTTCTGGTTGGCAGACGTCATAAAAGGACAGAAAAGTGGCTCATATTTCATTGAACTTCATCAAGCTCTTCAGATTTCTTTTACGTTTGCTTTGGCTCATTTATCATTTCTTGTTTATTTAACTTATTCATTATAGTTACTATCTAGTGTTCTTTGCATTTTCTTTTTTTTACATTATGAAACAAACACTATCGGGTTATTTATTTCAATGATTTACTATCTATATGACATTACTTTTAAAAAATAAGACAAACAGTGGGACAGGGGGGAAAAAAAAAGAAAGTCATTTCAGAGAGTTCTCCCTCTCCAAGCAAGGCAGGGTACAACTCCATCTCTCTTCTGGAATCCAGGATTCCACCTGCTGCAGGTGACCATCTGGCTGCTGGGGACGAGCTGGAGGCCAGGGCTTTACCTGTGATTCAGTTGAGAAGCACAGTGTGAGCAGGTGCTCAATGTTTTGCTAGTATCAGGTCATTTCTATTCTTAACCTTGTAGCATAATGTTAGATTTTCTCCATGGCATGAAACTCTGGAAAGTCCTGCCATAACACATCACAGAGGAAAGTGTTTCTTGTAACAGAAGGAAAAGAAATCTTTCCTTTCTCAGCCTGTCCAGGAAGCAGGATATGGCAGGTCTACTTTAGTAACAATATTGTTGATCCCACACCAAATCCATTCTCTGTGACAGTGGATGATTTGACCCTAAAGGGCAAAGGTGAATTAGGTCACTGGGTCTACAAGTATAGAAAATACTCCTAAAGTATTACTCTTTGGGGTTATTTAAAATGTCAGCTGAGATCTTCATAGCACATGATATCTTTGAATTTGTTTAGTCCTAGTTATTAGAGGAGAAAGATTTGGAACCAGATTTTATTTGAATTTTGCTAAGAAAAATGGGGGGTAATTAGTTCTGTTGCTTATTTTATTTTTATTATTTCGCATTTAGGGATTGGTATTTTTTTTCCAAAGCCAAAATGCAGTTCAATTAATATTAAGATAAAGGGTCACCCTTTATCTACAAGAGATTGAGCCCAAAGTCCCCAATATGTGCCTAAAACTGCAAATAAAAATGACTCCTGTATATTGTTTTCTCCCCTGATACCTATATGCAAATGATAAAACTGAGTTTATAAATCAGGCACAGTAAAAGATGAATAACAATAAGAGGGGCACAATAGTAGCACGTGCCTATAATCCCACCTACTTGGGAGGCTGAGGCAGGAGGACCATAAGTCTGACAATACTGTCAGCAACTTAGCAAAACTATTTCTGGAATTAATGAAAGAGAATAATTTTAACAATATACTTTAATAAAATTGCCAACATCACTACTTTGAACTGTTATTAAGTAAAATAAGGGTCACGTGAACATAAGCACTTTGATGTTACCACATTGGTTCTGATCACTGAGATAGCTACACAGTAATCGTTAGACAAGCAGCATATATGCTGAATAAAGGGATGATTCATTAGGACAGGACAAGATGAGAAAAGTGAGATTTCATCATGCTACTTAGAATGGTACTCAGTTCAAAAACGCATAAATTGTTCATTTCTGGACTCTTCCATTTAATAATTTTGGACCAAAGTTGACCATACCAGAGAAGAGGAGTAATCAGGAAAATGAAAGAGAAAAAGATGTCCCATGATCTGGTTCTTAGTGATCAGCAGGATTGGCCAAGGGAACATTGTGTGGAGGTTATTCCGAGCAAAGAGAATAGCATTTGCCAAAGCTCTAATGTGAAAATTCTGCACACTGAGGGTAACCTTGCAGACAGGAGTAGCAAGAAGGGGGATCTAGGAAGAGAATGAGATGGAAGGAGAAGCTAATATGGCAGATCAGGTATAACCTTCCTCGAGAAGGCAAGTGTTGGGTAAGATCTTGACAAAATGCCTGTTAGTGTGTTTGTTATTTGGTCTTATTAAAGCAGTGACTGATATTTTTGACCTGGTGTTTTGCGCAAAGGGCCAATAGGGCAATGCCTGGTCTTTATACTTGATAGCCGACACTTTAGGAACCCTCAGAGAAGGATAACATCTATCTTATGCTCCTCACAATCAGAATGAAGCCTCAAGTTGCCAAAGCCAGTCATAAATCAGAAACAAAGAAACATTTTTTTTGTTTTCTCTAGGCTTGTTTGAGACGACAGGAATACAGAAGAGACTCAAAGGATGAGAAGAAACAAGATCAGTTTGAGGGGCAAGAGATAGATTTTGAGAGATCCCGGAATTCAAGCGGGTCATCTTCCAAACAGGTATGGAGAATTCTGAGGAACAGACAGTTTCCTACTCCTGTGTGTGTGTGTGTGTGTGTGTGTGTGTGTGTGTATGTACTCAAAAAGGAGATGTTACAGAATCCTAAAGGTCAGGACAGGGAGAGGTGCGGGGTAAGGCATGGGCCCAAAGATTCCATCCCAGACACCACCCACCACTTCCCAGCTGTGTGGCCTTCCTACTTTTGGGTGAGGGCTTGCTCTTCTTTCCTGTGGTTAAAAGACTCGATGTCGATGGTCTGCAAATACCATCTGCATCAGAAATGCTGGAACGCTTTGATTTTAAGAGTTGAAGGCACTGGGCGTTCATGTTTGTGACTTAGGGTCTAAGCCACTGCATGCTCGAGTCTAGCTTTTATTTCAAATGGAAGAAGATAGCAAAAACATGGTGATAACGTCGTCATGCAAAAACTGGCAATTGTTTAAATATTTGCATCTAGGATGATAACAAATAATAGGAACAATATCATATTTTTTAGCAGAATGATGCGGATGATGATAATAGCAGTCAAAATAGTTACCATATGTGAGTTCTTACAGCAGTCCAGGCACTGTACTAAGTAGCTAATACGTATTAGCTTATTTAATTTTCACACATCTATACGTATCTAACACACACACACACACACACACACACACACACACACACACTTGCCCCATTTTACAGATAGGAAAACTGCACCTAAGAAGTTAAGAAATTTTACCTAAGATCTCACAGCCAGTATGTTGTGAAGTAGGAATTCCATGCCAGGCAGGCTGACCCCAGAGAAGGTATTCCGAACTGCTGAGCTGTCCAATCATATTTCATCTTTAAGATCTTGGCTGTCTGAGAATTTTACTTATCCTGCCTACAAGCTAAATACCACAAACTGCATTCAAGCCTGATTGTTAGCATGGTGAATTGATTTAAGATGAGTAATATGCCTTTTATGAATTCTTACTTAATATTTTATGCCTGAAATAGACTCCAGAGGGAGGGACTCTCTCTCTCTCTTTCATATCAGTGGCGTGGATCTCTGAGATAGATCTTAGATACCTGATATCAATCAAATTCTTGTTGAGATTTCTTCTTTAATCTACAGTGTTCATAACTGCAGTTATTTAATGTTCAAAGGACACCTTTAAAACATCTATGATTGATGTTTATGGATGTAGCTATATCCCTGGGAGAGATGTATACTCCCTAATAAGGGATATAAAATCACAGGACAAAATATCCCGCCTAGAGTCTGAAGGTGAAGGAGACCATCTCACGGTACTGCCAGCTCCAAGAAGAACATGTTGCTAAGGCTTTTTCCTGTTAGTCAAGGACTAGATATGATGTCTGCTGCTGGATAAACTTAGGGAGTGAGATCAATCCAAAAAATTAAACCCAGTTTGGATAGAATAACACATTTTAGCTCTAAGACAAATTCTTACATTTTTACACTTAGAAACAAAAATCAAGAACGGATAAGAAAATTTAAAGTATTTTAAGTCAAGTAGTGTGTAGCAATCTTCCTAGAATGGCATTACTAAACAAATGGGCATCTGGATTCTTCTGTTTTCATGCAAAGATTCATGTTCATAGTCGGGGCCAGTTTGTATGGCAGCTCGTGTGCATTTGGGACGTTTGGGACTTGCAGTTTATGCTCCTCTTTACTCATTTTAGGGGACAAGCTGGTGTCAGATTCCTTTGGTTTCCTTCTTTCTGCTATAAACATTAACCACTCTTTCAGACCACTTCTAAATAAGGACATGGTTATACATATAGAAGTAATTATGTGAAATAGCTTCTATAATCATAGACTATTTGTCTGAATTTTCCGACTCTTAATTTTATTATTCACTTATACTCACCACAAAATAATGAAAAAATTGCATAGAACTGGTAATTTCTATCTAAAGTACAAGTTGGATGCAGTGGCCATGCCTGTAATCCCAACAACTTGGGAGCCTGAGGCAAGAGGATCACATCTTCAAGGCCAGCCTCTTCAACTTAGGGAGACCCTGTCTCAAAATGAAATTTTAGAAGAGGCTGGAGCTGTAGCTGAGTGGTAGAGTACCCCTGGATTCAACCCCGAGAAACACACACACACATACACACATGCACACACAGTAGGAGGACAGGAGTTTCTGTGTTCATACTATTCCACCATTCCTCGGTGTATCGGAGAACGTGAAACATTGCTTACATAATCTCATTTTTTCCAAATGATAAAACCATGGGGCTAGGGTTGTGGCTCAGTGGTAGAGTGCTTGCCTAGCATGCACAAGGCACTGGGTTCGATCCTCAGCACCACATAAATGTAAAATAAAGTTATTGTGTCCACCTAAAACTAAAAAATAAATATTTAAAAAAAAAAACACACAAGGGTTTGGTCCTTGACTGTATGAATGACTTTAAGGCTATATCTTCTCATCAAGAAGAGTGACAGTGGGCTGGGGTTGTAGCTCAGTGGCAGAGTGCTTGCCTCACATGTGTGAAGCACTGGGTTTGATCCTCAGCACCACATAAAAATAAATTAATTAAATAAAGGTACCATGTCCATCTACAACTAAAAAAATTTTTTTTTTAAAAAAAGAAGAAGAGTGACAAAATCAGAATTTTCCACAGTGAAGTTCACTGCTTTGCTTTTAGGGTTGGACCCCCACCTACATTTCTACGAAATCTGATTGTCTTTAAGCCTTCAGAGCCTGGAGATGTCCTGCCATATCTCAATTCCTGAAGGAATGCACAACTTATTAATAAGCTTTTTTTCTCAGTGTCCATAACACCAGGGAGATCCTGGACCTAGTCTCCCAGAGACTATAAGAAATAAGAAACAAGAAAGCTGGCATCTCCCAAAGGAGAACCAGGCCAGACAGATCCAATTTCCAGAGCTCAGCGTATTGAATGTCACATCAGGAGCTAGAGTGCCAAAACTTCTGTCAATCAGAGAGGGGCAGGAGAAAGAAGCTGCTCAGAGAGCCAGTGTGAACCCACCAAAGTCCCCCTCCCTTGGTGCAAGTTCCCCGAGTAATTTCTTTCCAGAGATTGCAGTGCTGAAACCTCTAAGTAATATTTTGCCTCTGATTTGTGGAGGCAGGTTTATTCTCTTAGTGAGTGGCTAGTATGAAAGTGAATTGCTTGCTCCATGGAAATTCTTCCACCATTCTGTCACTATGTGGAGCATGCCAGGACCAAATTTTGACACCTGAATTGCAATTTTCATCACTTGTTCATTTCTTAACTCAGATTCGCATTCTGACAATTCTGATGAGCCTGGAACAAGCAAGGCATTTACCATCAGGTGATGGCTCCAGTGTCAAGTTGTCATTTCCAGACACCTGCCTAGAGGTGGGCATGTCCCCAAACACAGTTACCCTGGTGGCTGCTCCATCATGGCACAGCCTCCTCACTACAACCAATGGCTCTAACTGCTGGGTACGAAGAGGTTGTGTTTAATTTAAATCTAGGAATAAGCAATTCCTATCAAGCCCCTGCTGAGTGGTTCTTTAAAGTGGTACCTCCTAAATACATTTCAGCTTGTGATTTGGCATAATAAAAAACATTAATCAAGGCCAGCTCTGTCCCTCTTTACAGTGTGAATTCAGGCAAACCCTTTGCCTTCGAAGCATTTCAATTTCCCATCAAGGGGATACTTGTTATTGTGCTTATCTTGTGGGGATGATTGTGAAAATAAGGGAGATCCCTAAGTGACATACTAACATTTGAATACATATAAACTGTCACCGGTGTCCAGTGCCACCTGCAAGTGATGCTCCGACTGGCTTCAGTAGAGGAATCGTTTCTGCTCTTCCTCTTTTTGCCTCAGCCCCATCCAGGCCACATTTCTAAAGGCCAACCTAATTTTAGACCTTTCTCAGGGTTACAGATAACCTCTTAAACAGCTTAATCAGAATTTTTAACATGGAAATAAACAGTAGCTTCACATATCCAACTAGAAATTGGATAATTCAGGGGACCAGGAAGCAAAGCAGTCTCCATATAAGGAGAAAATAGCTCTCCTCTTTCCCAGGTGCCCCTAGGGATTGCTGCTAGCTTGGAGGACCTGCTGTGATTGACAGGGGCACCAGGATTTTTCATCCTTTCAAACCTCAGCAGAGACGAGACAGAAGCCCCAACTCCCTTGTAGAAGATGAAGAAAACGATTAACCCAGGACAAGGAGGACAGCAAGCTTCTCTGAAGAGACACACTACAAGTCCTTCTCATCTTTGGAGATCCTGTATCCTTGCTGCAAGAGACACTGTTCCCAATGCACCCGCCTCAAGCCCTGGAACATATTGTCACTGCATTTTCTTAGTTGGGAAGGAAAATGGAGATCAGCCCTCAGTTTTTCAAGAGCACCTTTTCCTTGGGTGATAGGAACCCTCAGCAACCAAGCTACTAAATATTTAGATTGCAGGTCACAAGGACCCATGGTTACATTGGAAGGAGGCGTAGGCAGTTAACCTGATACCAAGAAGCAGCTGGCTGTGGCCCAGGCCCTGCTCAGTGTGATGTTTACATCGGTGAGGTCACCTGAACCTCCCAGCAAACAAGGTGAGTTTCAGGAGAAGGCTATTTCCTGACACACACATTTTAAATTGTTTTATCTATGAGAATCCACACAAACTTGGGAGATTAAAAAAAAAAAAGGCTCTAAAATGAAACCTGTAATGGTTTAAAAAAAAACAGCAGGTCTACCACCCCTCCATGAGGGCAGCAGAGGTCTAGAACTGTGGTGTCCAATGCCAGTGGTAACATGCCATGTGTAGCTATTCACATTTAAATTAATTAGAACTAAATTTAAAATTTAATTCCTGAGTCACACTAGCCATGTTCCACTGGGGTCAGAGTCTGCTGTGCTCCACTGTGCTGACACAGAGCATTTCCATCATTGCAGAAAGTTGTGCGGGACAGTGCTGCTCCAGATGGTCAAATCTAAAACACAAAACAAAACAAGACCCATGAGCCAGGAAAGAGTTTGGCTTCCCAGAAGCTGGACCTGCAGAATCC